TAAGAGATCAGAAATGAACAGACTTCTCACAAATCTTAACCAGTTTTATTGCTTAAAGTGTTCATAAGTTTTATGCATATTTATATAATAGAATGAGAAAAAAAGATATCTGAAATCAGTCCAATATTAGCCAAAAAATATCGGAATATCAGCCTGTATCTACATTCTCCAACATGAGCAAGCTGATAACAACACTCTGCTTGTGTTAAAAGTTTATGTTACACATTGGTGAATAATAAATGGGTCAGTAGTCCCTATACCTGTTGCTGATGACTGCTGTCACCTGTTTCAGTAACATCACTTGATCAAGACTTTTCTAACATCCCATTTAGAAGACGAGTATTAAATGTACGTATGATTTGTCCTGATATCATATCGGGTCAAAATCACAACTGGTTAATGTTTGAAGATTCTATGTTGGTATTATAAGGAAGTTAAAATGAGCGCATTCCTAAAATAATTTGTGGAAATAAAAATCTAACTTTATTTAATCAATTTTATGGATTATTTTGTCTCTATAACGGTTATCTATTTGGAATCGTTTATTTAACTGGCTTTATTTTATCCAGAGCTGTGATAATAGTTAATATGATTTATGTGGGAAGGGATTGTGTCGAAATGAGTAATAAATATGTCAGGGTAACTTTTACAAAAAACTGAAAAGATTGATGCTCTGTATTTTTTTCTTCTCCTGGTTAGGTGTGAAGCTTTAACCCGTGGACACTTGAAAGCCATAAACACAAACATTTATAAAACACCGCAGACTGTTTTATTTTTTTCGTTTATTAGGGAAAAGGGAACAAACCACATATAAAACCAATGGTTTCTTTTTGTTAAATGCTAAAGAGCTGCTGTTTCAGACTAATTCTGAAGACTGTTTGAACACTGCTGAATGATGCATTGTTTTTCTTTTTCAGATTCTATCAAGATTACCATCAAAGAAGACGAGGATATCATCCTAAATTGCTCTTTTGAAAAAGATATTACAGGTCATCGCATTGAGTGGAAAAAAGATTACAAGGATGTTTTTTATTTTGATTTCAGGAAGGAGGATCCTACAGTTGAGGATCCAAAGTTTAAAGACCGGGTCGCTCATTTTTCAGAAGATCTAAAGTCAGGAGATGCTTCCATTAAAATCAAGGGAGCAAAGGTTTCAGACAGTGGGAAATACACCTGCTTGCATATTAACCAACCTGGAAAAGCTCCAGTGGACCAGCGTCTTATTGAGCTTACTGTTGGTGAGTATTTTTAGATAGTAATTGATTAGAACTTATTTGTCTACAGGAGGATTAAAATGACCTCACAATTCAAGTCAAATTGGTTCACTATAAATATAATTTATTCCCACAAAAACTGAGAAACTCAAGAATGGTTTCCACAAAAGCCAAATGTATTCAATATAAAGCCTTTTTCTGCTTTGATTTAAAAATATATATATATATTTAACAAATTGAAAATAGAGGAAGTATGGGGATGAACAAGTAAATGAAACTGAAAACCAGCTTACATGTCATCATAGAACTGAAGCAGAGCACTATCTATATCCATAAAAGAGGAAACATCTAAAAACTATAGTAATTTACTCTTTTATTTTGAGTTACAATCTGTAGTTATACATTAATGATGTGACGTATTTTCTTCTTCCTCTTCATTTTATTTACCGTTTTTAACTTTTGCCCTTCATCCATCTTGGTCCAAATACTATAGGCCTAAAAACAATTAGTTGTGCTATTTAGACCTGCTACCTGTTATGTGAACACATGAAAATATCCCTCTAATGAAATAGCCAAACTTTCAATTCAGTTTAGATGGTCTATATAGCTCTGATTTGCGATTATGTGTCATTTTACAAAACAGCTAGACTTAATCAGAGTCTACCTGTTTTGTAGACAGATTCCAAGTGTTTTTATCCTAGATATCAAACAATCTAATCAAGTTCAGTAGATTTTTTTAAATTAATTAAAGGTTTTCTTTTGCATTAAGTCAATGAAATACAACATTTACTACTCTTGGATCAAGGACTTTCACTTGCATTGTGTTGTTAATTCTTGTCATTCCTTCACACTGATCATACATATGAGCAATGTAAAAGATAAACTTCCCTTAAAGGGTTCTGGTTTTGTTGGTCTCTGTGTTAAAAGTCATCTACCATTAATGACTAGGGATTTGAGAAGACAGAGCATAAACACACAAAAAGCACAGAGAGGCACTGATCTAGCAGTGCTTTTTTGTGTTTAAAAGGTTAAAAGTTAATAACACCAGTAGCTCCTTAAAATTCTTTATTTATGAGAAAAACAGCAGAGCAGATGATCTATCAGCTGGTTTCCAATTCTTATAAGAGAAAATACAGCAAATACAATCCATCACAGTAAAAGCTAATTTGTTATTTCTAGCGGAGAGACAGAGTTTAACACTGAAAACACAGAGCCAAGTATATCAAATATGTAAAGGGGACATTAAGTCACTGACAGCAGAAGTTCAGATGGTGCTGCAGCGCCCTCTGCAGGAAGGTGTCAGAAATAAACAGAAGAGCAGACCAGACTAAGCTATTATTAGGAGAAAAACAAAGAAAGAGAACTTTAAGTT